TTTAAATAATGTACCAGTAAGGCCTTCTCGCGGACCATCATGGGAATTTCGGGGGAGGGGGCTGAAGCCCCCCACCCCCCCCCCCCCCCCCCCCCCCCCGCTGGCTACATGCCTGGCCTCCTGGCAAAGACCCCTAAATTCTGCTCGATAACAACATTACAAGTAAACTAGCATTTCATGTTGCTCTAACATGTTGCTCTAACTACATTCCCAGCAGGGTGTTTACACACATCTAATCTGATTTCTTTTAGATTAGAATCTAAGGATGTAATCTAAAGATGTAATTCATATATAACATAGTTTCAGTTTTACTTAAGTTATTATTTTAAATAATGGTATTTGGGGGAGGAAGTATTTAAGAACGGCATGTCTGTGTGAAGAATCAGATGGTTCTTTGGTTTCCTAGATAATCTGTCAGAGTGATTAATTCAGCAGGTGGCATTAGGATGTAGAACATCCTGTTGGACCACACCCTTTTAGAGATGTGATTTCAAGCTACCGACCAGTGACCACATAGTGCTGGAAAATTTTTAGGCACTTTTTTGAAAGGTCTCACAATCTGTGTCTCTTATTGATATCGAGCTCTTTTGGGGGGTCTCTCCAAGGAGGAGAGCCCAAGGACTGCACCAAAGAGAGTCCTGGATACCTTGGTGAGCTTTTCTGGAAGCCAATCCAAAAGCGCCGAAATATTTAAAATATAATAAGGTCACCAGAGGCGGAAGAAGTCCAGCGATCGAGGTTTATTTGCGATTCAGCTGAAAAGGATGCATTACAGGAATCATTCCACTGTAAGCATCCAGCACAAAGATTTTCAGGCATTTTTATACAGTACAAGACAAAGAAAGCAGTTTGAAAATCCCGCCCGCCCCCTGTCAGCCGGCTTCGCGCTGATTGGCTGAGGCTGGAACAGCTGGGAGGAGGTTTGACAGCCCGCCTCCGTCAGGAGCCAATGGGAGCGTTTCCTCGCCTCGGGAGGGCCAATGGGCGCCCTCCGCTCGCTTCCTGGGTTCTGGCCAATCAGGAGTGAGGAGGCGAGGCGGCCGAGGAACAAAGGGGAAAGATGATGGGATTTGGGCTTCCCTGCCCGCTGGAATGCGGGCTATTGTCCAAGGCGGGAAGAGGGTGATGTTTGGCAAACAAAGGGCTTTCCTGTTCTTGATGAGTCTGGCAAGGAATTTGAATAGCTGGATCGATACCGGACCGCCCGGAGGATCAACAGTATCTGGGTGATTTAATCAGTCCTTTCTTTCCGGGGCTCTGCTGACCAAACCCTCCTTCGTTGGTCTTGCTCCGATGACGAAATCGGGGGCCAGCAGCATTGTCCATGCAAGATGGGTCAATCAAAGGGTGATTTAGGGAAAAGAGGCTTGGGCTCTTTCCCCAGGCAGTTCCTGGTCACGCCGGTTTTATGGGGTAAGGGGTCAAAGAGGTGAAGATACAGGGGAGTTCATAGGGATACATATTTCATATTCATAAAACACAGGCATCACCAATATACAGGCATTTCATACATCACAACCCACCACCCATCCCAACCCCAATCCATAATAGGAAAATATTTTGTTTATTTTATTTCATAAAAAAGGAAAGAAAGACTAAAAATCCCAAAAGTCCAGGCGGAGGGGTTTGGATGCAGGGGCCAGCCTATGGTTCAGGCCGGCCATCCAAAGATCAGTTCATTTTATGAAACAGGAGCTGGAGCTGAAGGGGGAGCTACGTTCCACTGTCCCGTCCTTGGTGGAACTAGCGCTCCCAACCGGGGATCAGGCCTCCCTGCCCGATCCCCCACTTCCAAGGCTTTCCCTTGGGCGATGACGGCGGATCGTAGGCGGCTGGAACCATGCTGGAGCGAGCCGCAGCGAGCGGAATGAAGCAAGCGGCAAAAGCCGGCGAAATTTTGACAATCAGCTGGTGACTCGGCCGAATTTAATGATTAAACAAAAATAATTGTTTCACGAGTGCAGGAGTCCAAAGTGAGAAAACCAAGATAGCAGTTAGTCTTAGAAGTTAACGTAGAAAAATATAAAATTTGAATGGGCCCGATCCGCCATGTTGTTGTTTTGGCGGATAAGGGGGGCCAAAGGGAAAATCTCCGTATCCGCGATTTGAACTAACGCAAATTCGGAGGCCTGGGGAGGCCGGGAAGGCATCCCCAGTGAGCTCACGGTTTCCCGGAGCTCAGAAAAAGGTTTATTGTGAGTTAGAAAAGTTGCAGTCAGTAAAAGGACACAAAGTATCAAGCGGAAAGGATTTAAAGTTTCAAAACTTAAGTGTTTTATTGAGGGATTTGTTACAAAGAGAGGGAGAGGGGAAAGTGAAAGAAAGGCTTCATGCAGTCCTTTGCTTTGAGCTGCTGGCTGGGGCACATTTCATCAGTCGGACCCAACTTTGCTCTACGGAACTGCGGAACTCCCTGCTACGGTTCAAACCAACTTGAAGGCGGGAGATTCCGCTACTTGGGGGGTCATCATTATTTTGCTTCTGAATGTAAAATAAACATCTCAAAGTAGATCTGGATGGCAGCTAAAACCCTTCCAAAGTGTTTAATTTTAATTTTAGTAAAAAAAAATTTACAAGTCTAGACAACATTGATCATTTTATATAAAGCAACAAATAAAATCATGTAATATATCTTGTATTCATAAGACCTGTAGATTCATTTTTCCACCTCCGACAATATATGACCTCTCTAGACATTTTCTATATCTTTCAGCATTACTCTACTGTAGAGCTTTCCAAACTGTGTGTTGAGACTCATTAGTGTGCCAGCTGCAATGGGTAGGTGTACTGCTTGAATGTAAAGAGAAGCCTATCATTCTGTATGAAATAAGCAGTAAATCATATATTTTTTAAAAATATAAACATGTTTTCATGAAATAGGTTCTGTCTCCATACATTTCATTATTATATAAATGTCCATATATCTCCTAAGAGGTTGATTTATGTGCAGGTTTTGTAGGTGCAGGTTCTTACCTACAAAGCCCTGAATGGTTTGGGACCCGCCTACCTGCGTGACCGCATTTCTGTGTACACGATCTCTTTGATCTTCTGGAGAGGCCCTGCTCGCGCTCCCACCTCCATCGCAGGCGTGATTGGTGGGGACGAGAGAGAGGGCCTTCTCGGTGGTGGCCCATCGACTCTAGAACTCACTTCCCAAGGACATCAGACATGCCTCAACTCTGACAGTCTTTAGGAGCCTGAAAACGTAGTTGTTCCAGTGTGCCTTCCCAGAATAAGGAAAACTCTCAGCAATATTCTCTCTACATGCATTTTATCACTGATTTAGGATTGCCTGCATGCCCCCATCTCTCTCTGAAAACTCTATCCCAGTTATATCCTACCTTGTTCATGCCCACCATTATTTTTTAAATTTTAAATCATTACATTTGGCCCAGCCATAGATTTTTAAATGCTTGTGTTACTGTTATTGTTTATTTTCTGTTATGAGATTTATTTTAACTGTCTTGTATTGACTATTCTGTTATTGCTTTTGTTTATTGATGTACTGTGGGCTTGTCCTCATGTAAGCCGCACCGAGTCCCGTGAGGAGATCGTAGCGGGAAATAAATAAATAAATAAATAAATAATTATAATTATAATTATAATTATAATTATAATTATAATAATTATTATTATTATTGATTTAACTTCCCAATTTCTAGTAAAACTGAATTGTCTTACAAAAATGATGCATGTCTTAAAAGTGTATCACCAACATCAAATGTTTGGAAAGTTCTCTTCTGTGGTATACTTGGGCCTAAAATATATAAAGTAAATAGGGTTCTCAATTTCACATATCCAAGCGAAGGCTGAGAATGTATGCCTAAAGGGAATATATTTTGTATTATATTCTTTGACATTAATTCAAGATTTGTTTTCATATCAACTTCTGCAGAAACAAAGAAATAAAAAGACATGCTTTAAAAATTGCAATCATGTTAAATTACTCCTATAATTCTTACCATTTTGAACCACTTTGGGGGGAATTCTATTGGAAACTTCTTTCTGGAATAATTTAAAATAAGATAGCTTTGTAATGTCTGTATCCATTAAAAAGATGCTGTTAGTATACAGAGGAGCCAGGAAAGTGAGTGATGTTTTTGGGACCAATGCACATTTATCCCATTGTCACTGGGATATCACCTAGGACTTTCTAAAGTGTATCCAACACTCTTCACAATTCACTAACGGAGTTTCTTAGAGTATCTACTATGTACCTACATAGTAAAGCTGTATAACACACACTTTGATCAAGGATTCTGGCCAACACATTATAATAATATTCACCCAGAATATTCAACAGCCCTGTGGGGTTCCTGGATCTGAATGCGATTTTGGATTCATCCAAACCCCAGGAAGAAAATCCGAAGGGGCCAGACTGCTTAAATTGTTTGGACGATCAGGGACCCGGCCAAGAGGGTGCAAGACTGGACCCAAGACTGGTGAGCCTGCTGTTTGCAGAATACAACCACCTAGCTGATCGGCTTAATCAGTTTGGGAGGCTGCTTTGCCGACTGAATCATCCATTAGCTCAGCCCCTAGATTACACACAAGGGAGGACCACCTGCGAGTCTTTGGACCCTGACCCTGAAAATGCCAGAGACCTAGCTTGGGATCAAAACCGGGACTATCCCAAGGAGTCTCCCTTAACTCTGCAAAGAGCTTCCCTGATAAATGGAGAGCCATTTGAGAGTCCCGAGATGAGCCAGGATGCATCCTCGATGCCAAAGGGGGAGATTCTGGAGTCTGCTTCTCATGGCTGCTTGTTCGATGGTTTTTGCCCTCTCGATCTCGGACTGTCCTACCCATGCCCTTGGTCTGGGCGGGGAGCTCCGGGGACCACCAATCAGGAAAAGGATTGGCCCTCTCTGCCTGAAGTGGAGGCATTGGATGTGACAGAGATCCTTAGACGGGTGCCTGTCTCTCCCTTGGTGTCCCCCTTTTGTGGAAGCCCCCAGCGACGTCGCTGCCTCTCTCTATCAAAGAGGCAAGCTCCGAAGATGGCGACTGATCTTGGGGCCACTGTTGGTGAGCCTCTATCTTCCTCTCCAACTCCCAAGAAGTTCCGGCGCAGGCGCGCGGGTTTTCTTGATCAGAGATGGAAACGCCACCATGATATGCACCGGATCTCTGATGAAAGGCCAGAGCAAACTATTTTGCTGGCGGAGGGAGCTTCTGGCGCTTTGCAGAGTACTGGATTGACTGCAGGCCAGGACAGACTGACGGTGGCCTCTGGAGGGCCGGAAGCCCCAGACATGGACAGATGTACAGCGATAGGAACTGGCAGACCTCTGAAACGTAGGTCCCAGAGACGTGGCTGTCATCAAAAGAAATTTAAAACTAGAATCTTCTGGGGAGTGGGATTTGGCAACCGGACAAGATCTACAGCTACTGCCCCCTCCCACAAATTGGCCTACGCTCCCCCAGGTGGCTCCAGATCTGTAAATATGGAGGAGAGAGTACACCCCCAAGAAACCAGAGCCTGGGACTCAAATATAAGAACTGTGGGCATAAAAGAGAGAGTGTCTTCCCAGTCTATGGGAGTTAAGAACCCACTCCAGCACTCTCAAGGGAATCTGGATCCGACATCTTCTAGATTATCCCCCCACCCACAATGCTGGCCGGGTGCTCTGGCCTTTACACCTGCTCCTCACCACTCTGAGGGCCCCACTTATGACCACTTGTTAATTGGCCATGCCCCATCTCCTTTTCAGATGGCCAGTCAAACACTGGGCACCTAATCTGTGCTGCAGAGCCTCCAAGAGAAGTAGGTCTATGCATGGGGATTCCTACGATCTCTGGGAGGGGGAGATACGATGGTAGGCGCAGGCCGAATACTAGAGGGAGGTTGAGTCGGCGGGAGACTCGGCCCCCCTCTAACCTGCGGCCTATCCCCAGGTACATCTGTGACAGGCAACCAGTTTCCTCCCCTCCTACTCTGGTGTTAGTGAATGCTAGGTCCATAAGGAACAAAACTGCTACCATCAGGGACTTTCTTAATGATCAGGGAGCTGACCTAGTGTGTATTACAGAAACTTGGATCCAAGAGGGGGATGAGATCCTACTCCAGGAAATAACATCTCCAGGTTATGCAATCACTCACCAGATGCGGACTGGGAGGCGGGGGGGTGGGGTGGCTATGCTCGCCCGAGAAAGTTTTTCTCTTAGGGCAGTTCCTGTGCTGAGCATCTCTGGCATTGAAAGTGTTGGCCTGGTGTGGGATTCCTGTGAGAGCATAGCCTTTCTGCTGGTGTACCGTGCGCCCAGCGCACCAGCGGACAGCCTATCCCAGCTGCTTGAGACTGTGTCGGAGTGGTCCCTGAGGTTCCCCAGACTTATCGTCTTGGGGGATTTCAACGTCCACGCTGATGCAGACTCTTGTTCATCAGCGGCTATGGACCTAGTGTCTACCATGGAGACACTAGGACTCTCCCTCTGTACTACTGGGCCCATGCATCGGGCGGGGCACATGTTAGATTTGATTTTCAGCGCAGGAATTCAAGTGACCCAAGCCTCCACAATAGAGGTTCCATGGTCGGATCACTGCGCCCTGAGAGTCCAGTTGGAGCATGCCTACCCACGCTGCAAGGGCGCCGAGCCAATTTGGGCTCGCCCAAGGAGACTTATGGAACCCAGTAGGTTCCGGAATGCTCTGAGGGATCTGGAGCCTGCCAGCGACTCGATCGATGTGCAGGTGGACACATGGAACATCTGGCTATCCAATGCACTCGACGAGATCGCCCCTAGACGCCCTCTCAAACCCCGCCGAAATCGGTCTCCTTGGTTCACCGAGGAACTTCGACTGATGAAGCGGGAAAAGAGACAGCTGGAGGGCGTGTGGCGAGAACTCCGTGATGGAGCATCGAGATCAGCTTATGAGGCATTCAGGGAATCCTATGAGCATGCTATCACTGAGGCAAAGCGAGTATATTATGCTTCTTTGATAGCGTCTGCTAGCTCACGCCCGGCAAAATTGTTCAAAATAATTCGATCTCTAACGACGGTTCCTACCGTCCCAAAAAGTGGTGATCAGGCCCCTCCAGCCGAGGTTTTTCAGAGCTATTTTGCAGACAAGATCTCGCTACTTCGCCGGGACCTCCCCGCCACAATTGATACAGTGAGAGAACTTGAGACCCCGTGGCCACTTGCTGGGCCCATCCTCGACCGGTTCATCCCGCTGGATGCAGGGGCTGTCGATAGGCTCATAGCTGCAGCTAGACCGACCACTTGCTCCCTCGATCCGTGTCCCTCTTGGTTGGTGAAATCCTGCTTGGAGGGATTACGTGACCCTCTGTTGAAGATCATAAACAGCTCCCTTGAGCAAGGAGTCTTTCCAGAGGGTTTAAAAGAGGCGGTGGTCTCTCCTTTGCTGAAGAAACCAGATTTAGATCCCTCGGTTCCCTCCAGTTACCGCCCAGTTTCAAATCTCTCGTTCCTGGGCAAGGTGATTGAGAGGGCAGCAGCGGAGCAGTTGCAGCAATTCCTAGACGACACAGCCGGACTAGATCCCTTCCAGTCCGGCTTCCGTGCGGGGCACGGGACAGAGACTGTGCTGGTCTCCATCACGGATCACCTTCGATGCCAGCTTGACCGGGGCGGGTCAGCGCTGCTTATGCTATTGGATCTCACAGCAGCATTTGACACAGTCGACCACAATCTCTTGACCCACCGCCTTGCTGTTGCTGGAATCAGGGGGACAGCTTTAAACTGGCTGTCCTCCTTTCTTCACAACCGTGGACAGCGAGTGGAGAGGGGAGGCCTGGTCTCTGAGAGGTCCCCTCTATCTTGTGGGGTTCCTCAGGGGGCCATTCTCTCCCCTCTGTTGTTTAACATCTATATGCGACCACTTGCTCAGCTGGTTCGAGGTTTTGGGCTTGAGTGTTATCAGTACGCCGATGACACTCAGCTGGTGCTGAAGATGGAAGGCCGACCGGACTCTGTACCCGATTGTTTCCATCAGTGCCTCGAGGCCGTGACTGGATGGCTGCGTGCCAGCAGGTTGAGGGTGAATCCAGCAAAGACGGAGATCCTATGGCTGGGTGGACCGGGCAGTGGGGACATCCATCTGCCCACCCTGGATGGCGAGGCGTTACGCCCGTCATCATTGGTCAAGAGTCTGGGAGGCCTTTTGGACCCTCTGCTGACAATGGAGGCCCAGGTCTCCGCCGTGAGCAGAACCGCCTTCTTTCACCTGCGGCAGGCTAGACGGCTGGCCCCCTACCTGTCCAGGGACGACCTAGCTACGGTGATCCAGGCCACAGTCACCTCAAGACTGGACTACTGTAACGCCCTCTACATTGGCCTCCCTCTGTCGGTGATTCGGAAGCTCAAGTTGGTACAAAACGCAGCTGCTCGGCTTCTTGCGGGAATTCCGATGAGATGCCACATAACACCAATCTTACTACAGCTGCATTGGTTACCAATTGAGCACCGGATCACTTTCAAAGTGATGGTACTCACCTTTAAGGCCTTGCATGGTCTGGGGCCAATGTATCTGAGGGATCGTCTCACCCCCTACCAACCCCAGAGATCCCTCCGTTCTGAGGACCAAGATCTATTGGAGGTCCCCAGTGTCAAGACCTTGCATCTAGCGGCAACCAGACGCAGAGCCTTCACAGCAGTGGCGCCATCAGTCTGGAATGCTCTGCCACCTGAGGTTCGTGCCCTGCGGGACTTACCAGCTTTCCGCAGGGCATGTAAGACATACCTGTTTCGACAGGCTTTTAATGTTTGATAGTGTTGTTTTTAAATTGTTTTAAATTGCTTTTAAATTTTGTTAGATTTTAGCCATTCTTGTAAGCCGCTCCGAGCCCCAGGGGAGTGGCGGCATATAAGTTTAAATAATAAATAAATAAATAAATAAATAAATTTCAGCAAAACAACAAAATTACCAACAACAAAGATTTCTCTTGATTGGTGCCTTGTTGGTCATTATTAGCGTGAGAAGATTAGGTCTTTCTGCTTTGACACAAGAAATGCAAGGGCAAATTGGAAGTAAAATCCAAATTTTAAAACTTAGGGAAATAATATGGAAGGCAAAGTCATAGTAAGGAAGGGGAAACAAAGGATATTGCCTCATTTATTGGACAAGATTACATGCTAAACATAAAAAGCAGCAGTTCTCAACCTGGGGGTCATGACCCCAGGGGGGTTGTTGGGCCATTTTTGGGAGGTCGTAAAGCCACCTTGGTTGCCCCCCCTCCAAAATGGCTGCTGACCCCCTGTGCCAGCCATACAACTAGACACTCCTGGTTGGCTCCTCCTCCTGCTCTTCCCAAAGGGCTGTGGGGAGGCAGGAGGAGGAGTTTGGAAGCAAAAGTGCATGTGGGAAGAAGACTGGACTGCAGGGTGGCAATGGCTCCCCAGACATCCAGGCCACACGTGGCCTGGCCATTCGGCGAGCCTTGGCCACCTGGCCCTTGCCCACTTCTGAGCTCAGAAGGGAGCGAGGACCGGGCAGAGAGCTCCCCACATGCCCTGGCCCTTTTGGGGAGCTTTTGTCGCCCAGCCTTAGCCCCCTTCTGAGCCCAGAAGTGGGCGAGGGCCAGGCAGAGGGCTCCCCATGTGGTCTGGCCATTTGGGGAGCTTTTCAGCCTGGTCTTTGCCCCTTCTGAACTCAGAAGGGAGCGAGGGCCGGGCAGAGGCTCCCGAGTGGCCTAGCCATTAGGGGAGCCTTTGCTGACTAGCTCTTGCCCCCTTCCAAGCTCAGAAGGGAGCAAGGGTTGGGCGGACATCTCCCCGCGTAGTCTGGCCATTTGGGGAGTCTTTGCCACCCGGCCCTCGCCCCCTTCCAAGTTCAGAAGAGAGCGAGGGATGGGCAGAGGGCTCCCCGTGTGGCCTGGCCATTTGGGGAGCCTTTGCTGCCTGGCCCTCATCCCCCTTCCGAGCTCAGAAGGGAGTGAGGGCCGGACGGAGGGCTCCCTGCATGGCCTGCCTGTTTGGGGAGTCTTTGCCACCCGGCCCTCACCCCCTTCCAAGTTCAGAAGAGAGCGAGGGACGGGCAGAGGGTTCCCCACATGGTGTGGCCATTCATGGAGACTTTGGCGCCTGGCCCTCACCCCCTGTCAACTCATCATCATTGCTGGAGGTCAGTTTCTCTGTTTGTGGGTGAACTACAACACCCAGAAAGAAAGGTCAGTTCCCCCCAAAGCCATCCAGCAATCAAGTGTCGGCATATCAGGTAAGTGTGCCAAGTTTGGTCCAGATCCATTGGTGTTTGGGTTCACAGTGCTGTCTGGATGTAGGTCAACGACAACTCCCCCAAA